TTAACTTCTGCACATACAGTACTACTTTGTTGGCCACATAAAAGTCTTTTTTGCTACTTAGTTTGAATAGAGAGGGGCAAAAACCAGTTGTATCTGTTATAAAACTGGGTGCATAAAACAAAAAGGAGGAATAACTTAATTCATCTGTTTGTTCCCAGATATTCCAGATCTTAATCATAAATAGTGAAGAGAGATAAGAAATACAGGTCACTTAATTCCAAGATTGTTTACATTCTTCATATAAATTTAGCCTTTAAAACCTGAAAATTTTTGCAGCTACATTGTATGGGTTTAGTTTTCTTTTACATCAACATTTCCAGAAGCTTGGCTCTTCACAGAGGATTTTCTTTTATTAGAAGTTCCTAAACAAACGCCTCCTGTAAGTCAAGTTCTTTAGTTTTAGCCATGTGTCACTGGTCATTAGGAACATGCACTTTAAACATTTTGTTCAATATATAGAGAAGTTCTGAAGAGAAAGCTAAAATTATTTTGATGTAAAATGGTCTTTCAAGTGTGGTATTCTATAAGGTAAAGCAGTGCATTTGTAATAAATAACATTTTGAGGATTTCTTTCGTGGCATCTGTATTGTTCAGGAGATCACTTTACACTTACTAGAAATTGATCCACTTCCATTAAAGTAAAAGTTTTGTGATTTAGCAAGCATAGTAATAATACTGTCCATTGCTCTTGCAATATTGCAGAAACAAGAACAGCTGTATTTCATGGAATGTAAATAATTTGTTTTCTTTTAGATGTGGAGAAAGGGGGCAACTGAACTCCTGTCCCTGTTGACTTTCTTAATGGAGATCTTGGAGGCGGTAAACTTTTGACCTCTCACTCATGAGTTATTTGCTACTGAGATTACTTGTCAACATAAACATGGAGGACAGTTCTTTGGCCATTAATTGCTAGTTTAAAATTTGACTGATGATATTAACAAAGGAAAGGTATGTTTTGCTCTTGCTGCTGAAAATTTAGTAATGAGGTGCATTTGCCCGTTTGCTGCAAGTTAGGCAGGTAAGGGACATTAATAGATTTCCTTCACTACATGAAAACATATTTTTCAGTTAACAATCATGTATCTTTACAATAAGTAATACTTGTGTGATCAAGCACACACAAAAGATATGCAAGAGAGCACCTTAACTGGCAAAGGTGGTAGTATCAAAATAGTCTTACAGATAGTCTTCTTGTAGAATACTTAGGACATTTAAAAATTAGAGCAGAGAAGATAACAGCAGACACAAATGTGGAAGACCTTGCATTTGGAAATAGATTACATTTTTTTCCTTTTGAATATAGTAATACTCAAAAATGGAAAAAGTATAACTAGTAGATGCTTTTTCCTGTCGTCAGCAGTAAGGCAAAGGATTGCTTACTGCTTTCAGATTCACTCCCATATTGCTCTTCATACAGACAATTTCAAACCATTAAAAGGTTATTATATTTATTTCAGTATTGTCTTTCAAGATAAATACCAATTTATTTCTTCCTCTTCATAATTTTTTTCTTTTCCTAGAAATCCCTAATTCTTTCATTTTTTCAAGTATTCCACCTTCTGTTTGCTTTGTAAGTTTAATGATAGGAGTTTTCAATCCCAAAGTCCAACTTCTGACTAGAGCAGCTCTGAGTAAAGTAGTAAGTGTACCTAAACATATTTAACATTCTGTGTGTCACTGAGATGAGATTCAAACTGGTAGAGGGTACTTTTCTTCTGTTTCTTCAGTTCATCAACTGAAATGGATGTTTGTGGAGATTTTGACTGGTGGTGTCTGCTTTGCATTTCCTGACCTGAGGGTTGCCTCATCTTTCATTGCAATCAAGTTTTATCAGTGTTTTATCAATAATATCTGAGTCAAGACTTTTTTGGCTCTAAATGCTACTAGGTGGTGATGCTTTGTCAATAGTTGTTTTCACGGACATTGTGCTCTTTCTTGATGACCACTTGACAAAAAAAGGAGTAGCTTTTGCCTTTATAGGAACGACAGCCTCATCAGAGGCATGTGTGTGCACCAGGTTAGTTCTTCTTTCAGACATGTAAATGTATGTGAAGAAGTGAGCATGCAAAAATTGCAGACTTCAAAAGCTTTTAAAATCACAGTTGAATCTCTTATTCGGTAACTTAAGTGTGCTTTGACCTTTTGCTAGTTAATAGGATCTTTCAGGAAATTTTAACAATTTCTATAGGCAGTGATACAAAGTGGGACTTGAAGGCTGCATGTGTAACTGTCTACTGTGGTCTGTTGTGTGGTACACCAATATAATTGCTGTGACAGGTGGAACACATTTGATCTTAGGTCACATTAATAGTCTGTCTCTAGGATGTCTCTGTTCCTGGTATCTTAGAGCTGCTGCTGCGAGAGCACCTTCACTCTTTCTTGGCAGTCTGTGCTTTGGATAATACTATTTGATTTTTAACAACCTAATGAGCCTTGGGTACCTTGGTCCTAGAATCTTTTGTTAGGAGGAAGGTGTTGGTGTAGAAGATTTCTTGGTGTCACCCACAGTGTAAAGTTATATATAGACAAGAAAAACATTTTTCTTGTTTCTCTGACTGTTGTTCTCTGACATGTGATTTCTCTGTGTTCAAGAGTTGTTCTGCATTTGTTCATTGGAGTGCCTGAAGGAGTCTTAAAGTCTTTTTAATCCACTGAAATCCTAAGAGGGGAGAGAAGTGTTTTTTCAGGGCTTTATACAAAGTGTACAGATGTCTCAGTCCTGTAAATACACCCCTTTGGATATTAGTGAAGGAAAAATTATCTGGCTTTTGCGATTTGAATGGATGTATCTGCATTGAGAGTGGAAAAACCCACATGCAGATAACACAAGAGTAATAGTTAGAACATAGAATATATTTTAATGTTTAAACTGATAAAAGGCTAAAGACATTTTCGAGATCCATTTATATGGAAACAGAGTTATTTTTATGTAAATGAGTTATGGGCGAGATCTGAAGATGAATACTTCAGCAAGTAAGATAAATCTATATCCCATAATGAACAAATGTATTTTGAATTTGTCACCCTAATGCATATCAGTCTAAAATTAATTTATTTGCCTCTGAAAATATCTAATCTTGGCATCCATCAAAAAGAAATAAGTGATCTAGATGGCTGATAGGTTTAACAACCTTACATTAATTCTTGTTTTATATTGTTAAATTATACCCTGAAGTAGGTTCAAGAGAGCTGACAATCAAGTATGTACTTAAAAATCAATTTAATTGAATACTGTGAATTAGTTCCTTGTTGTGTAATGATGGTATTTTAATTGATGATTGCTTTTCATATTAATTTTAGTACCTTAGATACAATTCTTTCTCTCTCTGTGTTTGACTGTCTTTGAAATCTAATTTCAACCTTACATGTGCTAGTTTTGTAATGTTTAACATTAGCATGTCATCATCCTGAAGATAAACTGGTGGGCTTAATTAACTTAATAGTAATGTTGTCACTTGATGAAACCTACCTAGAAATTCTTCAAGCATTCTAGTTGTTCTTAAGTTTTTACTAATTCCTTTAGTCTTGTTCAGGATTTCCACTTGGGTGTTCTTTACTGAAAACTTGAATATGAAGATGCTAGATCCTTCTGTATATTGTAATAGTAAAAATAGAGAGGCCCTGGAGAGCACAAGTATTTTATTTTTCAGGGAGAACGTCTTTAAATGGTTAGGCAGCCCAGCAGCTTTAACATTCAAAAATAAGTGAGCTTTGCGGTCCCAAATAACGTATGTATGCTTAGTCTGGTTTGAACACTCAGTTGTATGTAAAATAGGAAATAAAACTTTAAAAATCCAGAAAAATTAGTTAAATTATGGCACTCACCAGCAGAATCTAAGCTTTGTAGAAAGAGATCGAATCTTATGAGACAAAGTCCTAATAGATGGAAAAGGCAGACAAGCTTTTGAGTGTAATATGTTTTCTTCTGCAGCAAGCATCAGGGTAAGTGCAATGTGATAGCAGTTGTGTTATATTCATGTTTACTGAGGTAATTTGAAGGGAAAAGATTCTCTAGTGTATGAAGAGGTGCTTGGGAGGAACGAGATTCTAAAGCTGTGAGGCAAGTTATGATTGCTTGCAGAACTCTGTGTCCTGCAAGAAGGACATGGGGTATTCCATAATAGCTATCTCATGACAATATTTGGTGGAGTTACAGCTTTTGATTCTTAAACTCTGGATTTGAAAGTGTTTTGTAGGACTCCCTTGAGAGTCAGAAGTGAGAGTTAGAGGAGTATTTTTTTGTGATAAATGTTCTGCATTTGATTACTGTATGTTTCTGCCTATTTTCCCTTCTTGGTGTGTGTTAATCCTAGCAAATAATGCTTGCTTACATTTGCCCACAGTTTTATAAAGCCTATAATGTTCTGCCATGTGCAAATCTAAAACTCACAGTTTTTTGGTGATAAAAAGATAATTTTTAATCAGAAGATGTTAATCATTCATGTTCAAGATCTTACTAAAAACTGGCAACTCGGAGGGGAAGTTCGATAAAGAATGTCTTGCCTGATGTAAAGATCAGGTTTGTGTCTTGAGTGTTTTGATGCTATGTATGCATATACATGGAGACAGCAGGTGCTTAATACCATTTGTTCAACTGTTTAAAGGATAAATGCCTCCTGCTAGATGAAGTTCCATTTATATCTGTGCGCTCTCTCAAATCAATTTGAAGTTCGTATTTGGGTGAGTTGCAAGTAAAGGTGGTGGTAGTTTATAAAAGCACTTGATATTGCAAAACAGTGACACAAACATCACTTTAAAATGAGTAGGAATAGCATTGGGGAAAAATAAAACATAAATCTCCCAAAACTATCTCCTAGTGTCTCTGCAAGGCCAAACCTTACATTTAGCTGCCACTGCTCACTAGTACTGGAGTCAGTATATGGTTAAATCATGAGTTTGTCTTTCAGGCTTGTTGGGGGGCATTGCATTGTTTGCTTAAGGGTTCTGCCTTAGATAATGACTTTTCAGTGGTTTTTTTGTGTGTTTTGTATCATTTCAAGGTCGTTTGTATGCAATGCAGACAGGGATGAAGATTGATAGTAAAACGCCAGAATGCCGTAAATTTTTATCCAAACTTATGGATCAATTGGAAGCTGTAAGTAGAATTTATTGCTTTCCTCAAAAATAATCATGATACTAATATAATTTTTATTTTAGTTTCTGGAAATACTGTCTCTTCTCTGCAGCTATTCTGCATGCAAGCATACTGCATGAGCCTCAGTTGTATGTAATAAATTGCAGAAGGATTGGAAGGGATGAAGCTCTATGCGTGTATACATGCACAAATATAATTCAAATTTTGCCATAAGATTTTGTGTAGACAGCATAAATTGCAATGCTTTATTTATACATATTCCCATGACAAATCAATTTATTATTAAGTTAATGCAGGTGTTCTGGAAGACTTTTTTAAATTTATTTGCCTTTGATTCCTTGAAGTCTAGTTTTTTTCACTGCTGTAGGACTTAATAACTTAGTCCATGGATGCTTTTGGAATCTCTAACCTAAACTGTTGTACCAGGGAGATTTTAAAAATATTCTTCAACAGATAAAGATACTTGTGATTGGAGATTTTATTTTATAAATTGTTGTGAGCACAGTCTGATCTGTGTGGGTAAGGGATAGCTATGCCACGCTCTTCCAAATGGATCTGATACTATTAAAAAGCCTTAAATAAAAGAGTTAAACAAAGAAAGGTAAAGTTGTGGTACAGATGGTCAGTTTAAGTTCCAGGAGCTGTTTATGTTCATACCCTGTAGTTTTCAGCATTCTCAAAGGAAGAGGTTTGTTGATTCTGAGGTCTAAGTGCTCATTTGGAAGTAGAAAATAGTGTTGAAAAATGAATTAGCAGTTCTTTTTTTGTTCAGTATTGCTGATTCCATCCAAAGTCTAGCAGTGCCTGAAGAGTTTGTGTGGAACTAGTATAAGAGTTTCAGTTTGAAAGACCCATCTTTCAGTTACGAAAGATGGATCACTCGCCCACAGAAGTATTCCAGGCCAGGTTGGATAGGTCCTGAGCAACCTCTTCTAGTGAATGGCATCCCTGCTCTCAGCAGGGGAGTTGGAATTAGATGACCCTTAAGGTCCTTTCTAATCCAAACCATTCTGTGAGTCCTTGGAAAAAAAAATGAAATATGAACCATTTGTCTTTTTTTTTTTTTTTTCTTAACTTGTGTTTCTTGCTTTTTTATCACTGATTTTTTGCAATGGAAAATTCAGTGTACAGTGATTTCTTGGTGTGTTATTTCATTGGATTTTGATGTCTTTAATAGGACTAGGTTATGTGTTCAAAGGAAGAGACAGATAGCAGCAGAGGTGAGATTAAAACTCAAAAGGATTTTGCTCTTCATTTCCTAAGAAATGTTGGGATTTGCTGGGTTACTTGTGGTACTGCAGAAGTTAATCTGCAGCATTCAGTTACCCCTTCTGTTTCGAAACTGAAATGACTAAAACAGCAGCAAACATCTATAGTTTAACCTTTGGTTACTGGTAAGATTGTCTGTGTGACAACTCATGCACAGGTATTGAAGATTATTCTATGTATCCGGGTGGTTGAAGGATGGAGAGAGGACTCCTAGTCAAGTCTAACAGAGCAGTTTTGGAGCCAGGAGGTTGGAGTTTATGGGCTAGGAAGCTGGGGTCTATGGAAAAGTTGGACCCCTGCTGTAATTTAGGAGCTGCTGTTTCGAGTCTGCCCGTAACCACCAGGGGGCGCAGAGGGGTGCGGTTTAATTTTTTTTAAGCTTAAGCCTAAATGCCTTGAGTTTTAGGTTGAAGTTTTGTGTCAACGTTTAAAACACCAGTACTGCTGTATTGAATCACAGATTGTGTGAAGGATAATTTCAACATTAAACAGCTTGGTTAACTTTAGTACTTTTAGAAGTGTAAGTACCAGTGTCAGTTGTGTGTTTGAAATAATCAAACATCAGGTCAAGTATAATAATCAGTTCTTTTCTGAGTGTGAGGTATACAGATAGGTTAGGAAAATATATGTGTATGCAGTTTTCTTCCTGAGTTAGCTTCAGTGTCTGAGTGTTTCATTTGAACACATGAATTTTTGTAGTTTCACAAGAAAATTACGCTTCCTAAAACAAATACTTTTTCAAAACCACATATAGTAGTTTGATTAAAGCCTTTAAATTTAAGATTCTATTTGGAAAACTTATGTTTAATTACTGAAGTGAAGTAACTTTTCTGGCAACATTCTATGTCTTAGAAAGTTGGCAGCAATCTAAAAAATATGGAAATGCTGCCTGCATGATTAAAATTTTCTTTGCACGCACAGTGAAAAAATAACTGCCATTCAGAGATTGTTTTTAAATCTTTTGGCAAAATAAAGGCTGCAGGTTAATATCATGCAGTGTTCCTGTTTTTGTTCTCTAAGGATAACCTGAGATTTCCTTATGTGCAAACAGTAAGGCTATTCAGAAGCTGTAAATCCACCTGTTGTAACTGTTAGAGGGTTGTTTGCTTTACTGATTTTCATTAGGAAACCTGAGATTTCTGGTACTCTAATATTTTTGAAAAGCGTTCTTTGAATTGAAATACTCTGCTTACACTGAAAATTCCAGTAAATCCATAGGTCACTAGACCGGTTGAGGTAGGGCTCAGATACTTTGAAAGATATAATGAACTGCAGTGAAATAACCTTACAAGAAAAGAGATATATGATGGCTCAGATCTACAGCACCTTTATAAAGCATGCATTACCAGTTGAACTGTGTTTAATCTTGACACAGGCTTCAGGGTGCCGGGTCTTTCAGATACTAAGGTGAAAAATATCTGTAGCTGTTCCTCCACAGCATTGTAGTTGTGTTTATTTTTAACTTTGGGGAAGAAAATGTTGGGGTGTTGGTGGTTTTTCTAAGCATTTTTTGACCAAAGATTCAGGGCTACTTATTCGTAATATTTCTGTCTCCAAAAGAATGTGCAGTCTCTTTCACATGCTGCTTTTAGCATTTGTTATGTTAGAAGCTGCAGATTTGTAAAACAAAGTGTAAGTTGTTTCTTTTTAAATTTTACTTGACTTTGTTTAAATCAGCAGGTTCTTATTGTGTTTGCAGAATTGCTAAGGTCTAATAAAGTAATTAATGTATTTTTCCAACATTTTTCAGATGAAAAAGCAATTTGGTGATAATGAAGCAATTACTCAGGAAATTGTTGGCTCTGCTCATGTGGAGAATTATGCCTTGAAAATGTTTTTGTATGCAGACAATGAAGACAGAGCTGGGCAATTTCATAAGTAGGTGAATTTTTTTTTTTTCTTATCTGAAGATACTGCTCAGGGAATGTGAATATCCAAACTCTAATTTGAATGAAAGCAAGAATCAGGCTTTAATACATTCTTTTCTCTTCTGGAAAACTCAATTTGTTACTACTTTTAGGTCTCTAACTTCACACATTAACTGGTATCCTCCTCCTTGTGTTCCTTAGGGAGTGGTATACATACTGGCAAGCCTTATAAAACCACAAGCTAATACTGTGCTTTGTTTTATCAAGCATGTTATAGTTTCTATTGACCAGTGATAGTAAAATAGTTGTGATGATCCATTATATTTTGGTTTACAACAATTTTTTTGGTTTACAGCAATTTTCTAAGCTAATACAGGATTTCTGATGTCCTACAAATTCCAAGCTAGAAATGAAGTGCAGAACACGTAACCAGTTTTAAAAAACACTGAATATTTTCTGCATAGTAGTTAGAAGACTTATCAATATTGCTAGATTTAAATATTGTGAAGCAGCTTCTGTAAGATCAGATTAAAAGAAAAAAAAGCAACGTTTGGCTTGAAATAAACCAGTATGGTCTAAGATTGCAATGCCTGAAATGTGATTTTGAGAGACTGACATTGCCAAATTAGCAAAATGCTTTCTTTTTTGCAGAAACATGATAAAGTCCTTTTATACTGCAAGTCTCCTGATAGATGTTCTTACAGTATTTGGGGAGCTCTCTGAAGAGGTAAGTGTCAGGCATATGAGTGCATTATCTGATTGCTTTTCCAAGCACAGACGTTGCTTTTATATGTCGTGAATAGGAATGTCAAAGAACAGTATAGCCAAATACTTGTTAGAAAGCCATAAAGAATCATGCTAAGTATTTCAGATAAATTGTAGATGAAATAGTAGACATCTGTTAGAAGATGCTTCATGACAAGAATCAGTTAGAAACTCAAAGTTTGATTTTTACTCTGGGACACATAGCATTGCATTGAGCAAGTGAGAATGCATATAGGGGGAAAAATGATGCAAGGTTCCTAACTTTGTCCTCCTTTGTCCTGGTTGAAATTCACAGGCTTGGCATCCTGTATGTAAATCCCCAATCTGGTAAGTGTGCCTAAAGTGCAATCATACTTGCTCAGTTTAAAATGCAGTTATTGTGACTACTTTCATCTGTAAATATTGGAAAGAAGGTAAAAGCGTGGTCTTGATAGTGGTGCACCACTGGAATACTATAGGATGTAAGTTTAGATGCTAAAGATAGGTCTTACCCAAGAGAAATGCTTGGTGAAGAGTTCCTGCAATATTCTCCATCTTCCGTAGCTTGAGACTCTACCAATACAAAATTTTCATCTTATTGAGAGGCACAAATAAGTTTGCTTTTTGATGTATTCTCTTAAAACTGTCTTCTCTGTGCCCTGACATCCTTTACTAGATCCAGCAATAACATTTCCTAGAGCCAGAGAGTGAATCCATATTTGCACATTGAATTGGACTGAAAAAAACCCATCCTAGTCTGTAGGAATTCAGTGCACAGGACAGTGCGTTGATCAGTTGAGTCCTCAGAGTACCTGAAGCAATCCTGCTCTGAAGATGGAAGAAATTGTTACAAATGTCAGTGCAGAATAGCAGTGGTACATTTTCTGTTGTGTGTTGGGGTTTTTTATTGTTGATGCTGAAAGGACAGAAATGCTTTGTAATTGGAAAGAAGCAGAATTTTCTCATTTTGTTTAATTGATAAACACCGATGGTAAAAGAGAATGTACAAGAAATACAGAAAATATTTGCTCCCCTGTATAGCATCATTACATTTCAACAGTTTCCTTATCCATTCTCATGTGAAGGGGTGATGGGAGAAGTATGACCTGACTGTCTTAGACTTTTGCAGAAGTTTTTTTCAGCCTAAATGAAATTCAGCCTGGCACCTGGTTATAGAGTGTGACATCTATATTCAGACCTCCTGCCTATTTTTTCAATGGGTAGTTGAAATTGCCTTCATATGTGGACTATCAACTATTAAAAGGCTTTTAAAACAACAGCAGAAGGCATAGAAAGCAGATATTTGACACCTAGAAAATGGGTGTTGAGCATAATATGCATGTTTTTAAATGGCAAGTGATTGATTATTGGATAGTATGAATGGATTGTGTCACAGATGAAGAGTGGTTGTTCTATATCTCCATATTAGAATTAGGCAAAAGGATTTTCTGGAAGATGCGTTTTACAAGACACAGCTTAGATCAGAGCAGTAGGAAGCTCTGGGATAGCAGCATTCTTTTCATTTACCTCAGTAGTAACATTCATTCAATAGGGCAGCCTTCTGGAGAGGGGCAGCAGTGCATGTTAAAAACAAACCAAAACCAACAGCATTTCACTTCTCAGTTCTGGAATGATAAGCTTTGCAGTCAGGATGCAGGGCAGACATGAAACACTTGGTTCCATTCTCCTCACTCCATCCATCCTTGCGTGCAGGGGTTGGGGGTGCTTGGCCTGTCCTTAAATACGCTCTCCCAAGGGCACCACCAGATGGCCGAGGGACTCAGCTGTGTCCCAAGCTGGGTGCTCTGGGGCTGGTTTTATCCAGCATGGGGCAGCCCTGGCCTCTTCTCACAGACACAGCTCCTGCCAGGCTGAGCTGCTAGCACCTGGGATGGGCACCTGATACAGCTGCATCTTCACCCTTTGTCAATAAATAATTGCCATATTAGAATAGAGGGGAGATGTACAGGCTCTTAAATATTCCGTAATAATCTTTCTTAAAAGTAGCATACACTGGGTATGTGTTTTTTGCATTTTGTGGCTTCTAGAGTGTTAGTTAAAAATGAAGGAATTTAATCTGTAAAAGTGACTGTCCAGAAATTATTATTAAAACAAAGTTTAACAGAAAGCCATATTTTCCAATTGCACTTTTCATTTTGACATAGAGTGAATGCATTTTAATAAATATGTAATCAGAATAGGCTTTTTTTTTTCTGGAGAACACCTTGTTTTCAAAAATGAAGACCAGATCTTTGTCTTGGACTGTGTGAGCATCCTGGGTGATACAATGTATTAAATGTGAGCAAGGGAGCTTGCTGGAGATACCTTTTGTATTGTGTCTCTCTACCCTGTTCTAGATGACAGTGCAACAGGCTTTGTGAAGTACAGTATTGAATTTCAATTTATTAATTTCTTAGAAACTTCGGATTTAATTTCCAAAGCAATTTTGAATTTTTTAAAATAAAAAATGAATTTTTAAAATTTTGGTGTTGGTGTGAGGCATGCTGTCTCAACCTGAATTATGCATCTGGGCTAATTATTCTACTCATCCTTCCACATTTCTAATGTTTATATTCAGCCTTGATCCTTGATTTATATTACCTCATAACTGTCAGAACTAGTTGCTTCCCATACAACTACTGGAAAAGCAGTTGATTTGCATAATCAGTTTAATATATCTTTGAATTGATAGCTCTTCCTGGATTTCTTTTTTCCCAGGAGATACAAAGTGTCCAATCTTCCTTTCATGTTTTGACATGTTAAAAGATGTACCTAGGAACAGTAAAGTATATTTTAGAAAACAAAATGGAAAATCTTAATGTTATAGAATATTTCAAACAAATCACATTAATCTACAGTTACATCAACATTTCTGTATTCATGCTTTTAAATAAAATTTTAAATTATAAAATAATATAATTAAAAATTATTTCATATTTCTGATCAGCAGCAGTAACATTTTAAGTTTCAAATATTTAAATCTAAAGTAAATAATCATCAAAGTTTATGGAGATGGGGAGCTTTCTTCATTATTTAATGTCAGTAATTACTACACTGTGCTATGTCTTTCATATGAGATGTTCTTGGTATAATTTATTTCCTTTTCCTGATATGCTGCACTAATTGAAGATCTCAACACTTTCACGCTGAGATCTTGTTAGATCTGTTATATTAATTAGTTTTTGTAATTCACGTATTAATTTTGCACATTTTTCTTTAAAAGGGTGTCAAATGACAGCAGAGAAAGTGGAAAAGATGTTTGTATTTCTGTTTCGAATGCATTAATTTGCAGAAGTGAGTAGTTAAAATGGCTGGCCTTTTCCCTCCCTGCAGAATGCCCAGCACAGGAAGTACGCCAGGTGGAAGGCAGCCTACATTCACAACTGCTTAAAGAATGGAGAGACTCCTCAGCCTGGTCCCATTGGAATGGAAGGAGAGAGTTTTGGTACGTGTTTCCCTTTTCTTCAAGAGAGCGGAAGGCTGTGCCAAGGTGAACTGGTGGTATGCACAGTTCTTCAGGGAGCACCCCTCAGGAAGCACAGCTTCCCAGCTTGATGTTCCATTCACAATGAGCTGCCTTCTTCTTTTCAGCTTCTCCTGCTGTTATTTTTATTGCACCTTACTGTGTGATTGACTTATTTAATAAAATATTTGCTTGTAGTAGAGATTATTACTTTAAATACAGCTACCCTCTAAGACAACATTGTCAGCTTTGAGCCAGAGCCATAAATTTCTTTAAAACTAACCACAGTCCTTCATTTAAATCTGTTCTGTAAAGTTAGGGTCCCTTTGTCAGTTTATCCTCTCTCAGAATTTAAGTAGGAGTTACAAATGGACTGATGGCAAGTGAATTTTAACTTCAAAGCAAAGACCTGCTTGTGAAACATCTCATTTCTCCCTGTGTAATAATGTTGGTTTCAAAATGGGTTTATGGTCTGCTCTTACTGAGTTGTATTTTCTGCCTCTTTCTCACTCATCTTCCTTTTCTTTGTGTTTTCAACTGCTTCCTCTGGTTACCTGAGTTCTCTGTACAGGATTCAGTGAGGTTCCCACTTTATCTAACAGTTAAGGACATCATTTCCAAGGACATCCGCTTAACCAAACTGAATGTGTGTCAGAACAAGTTGTTTTGCTTTAGATAGTGATCAGTTTCATTGGTTTTGGTAGTGACCAGTTTCTTTGCTTTTTTCCTTAATGCAGATTGAATACAAATTTCAAAGGTTGATCTCTTATGAGATAGGATGTCATTGGAATGGATATTTTCACTATTCAGATTAAAACAGACAAATTCTGTACAATGATAATCTCTGTGTATCATTCTTCACAAACCTAGTGGAACAACTGAGACCATCAAATAGTTTGTAATTTTCTTCTGAGCTGGCACATGAGACTTTGTGGCTTGTCAATTAAGTTGATACCAATTTTCTCTTAAGCTTGGATTTAATAATAGAAATTACTCCAAATAAAAAGGGTCAATAAACAAATCTACAGTGCAAAAAAGATCTAGCTTGTAGAGTATGTATCTAACCTGTAGAGCCACCTTATAGGGCTGGCTACATAAAGTTTGTGGATGTATGTATAAATATAGATGACCAGTGTATTTATACTTGTGCATACACATGAAATGTAAATGTATATGCACATAATAGTAATTATTTGTTTGTTTGCATGCATTTGTGTTTTAGGGTCTATATGTGAGTTTTGAGTGGATTTTGATGTCTGAACTTGTAATTTACTTCTAATAAGTTATGAGTAGGCTTGTAATTTTCTACTCAGTACTTTGGTTTTAAACATGTCAAAACATTAGAAAACTAGTTTATCTTCTGGTTTTCAATCTTTTCATCATGCAGTTACACATTTTGATGCATCTCCACATTGTAATTTATATGTCCTGGACAGTGTTACATTACAAAAAAAAGGATATTAATCGTGATTTTTTTTTTTTTAAGGAGAATGTGTACCAAACATCTGTTTCAGTTTATTATTATCATTATAGCGTCTAAGAGCCTGGGTGCCAAATATAATTTATTTGCAATTTCCTGGATAAAATACTATTTATATTAGTATTCTAGAAACACTGCAACATAAGTAAATTCAAATATTTGTGAACAAATAGTGAGTATGATAGTTTTATTTCCAAGCTACTTGTTCTTGTTATTATGTTTTCCTAACCTAAAGGCACCCTACAGATTTAAACACTGGAATGGGTATCTTACCCACTGAAATATGCTCCAGTCTAGGCACAGCTGTATTTGAAGTGAAGCATTAGCAAACTAATTTCTTCTTCAACATACAGTCTTTTCCAAGGTAGTTTCCATAGCTGTCATGCAGCTGTAGCCAGAGATACTTATGATGCAACTCCAATTGTGAACATCTCTTCATCTTTGTCAAAATACACCAGATTGATGATTTAATGGAGAATGCAAGATGTGAGAGAAAAATCTCTTGTTATATTGAATGTAATGAATAGTTCAGTTAAATATTTTCAGCTTTAAATGAATGCTCTTTTAGTTGTCTGGCTCATAGTGTGGTAAAGCTGACCTGAGTATGTGAAGCAAACTATGAATTTTAAACAAGTGCAAAAATAGAATTTCTAAGTAAACATTACAAAGCTTTTGCTAAAAATCCACGTGTGCAATTTGTAGAAGCTAATTATTTCTCAACAGAGCAACAAATAGACTCTTTCTTCATTTTATTAATGCGCAGAAGTGACAAGGCAACAAAAGAAACTGTTGTAAAAAGGGAAGCAGAATTCAGGCGTTCCTCAAATCCTTGGTATTCGTTGCAGTTCATTACAGGTGGTAATGGGAATTGGTAAAGACATTTGCTTTCATTTCCAGATTGTGTTTACATGCAGCTTAAAAGGGACGCAAATGCTGAGTGAATTAAAATTTTAACATCCTTTTTGATAGGGAGCCTGCAAGATTTGTAACTTGACAATATTTTATTTATTTTGTTGTTGAATTGTATTTCATGTAGAGAGATTATTTCTCACACTCCTAATTTTCTAAGAAATGAAATGAAAAATACATGTTGATGTTTATTTTTTATGGTTAGCTCCATGGCGTAGGTGTTCATGGTGTCTCTCATAATCAAGACAAAAATTTTATGCAAATTAGTTTTTATGAGAAGAATCAGTACAAAAGAGTTTCAGTTCCTCTTTGTGCATCATAAGAAGAAAAGCAGTATTGTTTGAATGTATGACTGGACCTTCCCCATTCCTTTCTGCTTGCTCATTTTCTTCCTCCCCTCACATGTGGAAAAAGTCTGTTTAAACAGAGTGAAACTAGGTCTCTGTAGCTTGACAAATTACCATTTTTTTCCAAAGTGTTATTTTTTTTTTGTGATTCTTGAAAACCATACTGTAACTTTTGGAGATGTTTTTACAGTACATAGGCATGCTTTATGCAGTTCTGCTGTTGGATTTATGGATGCTTTTGTCAGGATGCCACCATGGAAACCTAAAAATTACATGCTTAATTTATTAATGCAGTTGGAACACAAGTCCTAGAATACACATAAAGGTTACTTAGCATTAGCCCTAGGTCATCCAACAAGGTTTTACACTAATGGGGAAAAAAAATGGAAATAGAAAAAAGTTCCTAAATAGCTTATAACCATAGTAAATATGTTAAATTTAATCACCTTCATTGCAATATATAATATGTAGGCTACATTTCTATTTCAGAAAACCTTAATAGTTCCAACTAGTAAAAAGAACAATATGGGAAAAGTTGGTGGATTTTTGAGTTCTTTTCTAAATGTTGTGGAAAAAAATTACATATTTGGTTTTGTTTTTTAAAAGCAAGGTTCATATAGAACCTGACATTGTGAATCTTTCAGCAACATCTCAAGCAAAAGAGAAACAACACAGCAGAATGAGACAAAGGGAAAAAATATATTGATAGATTATAATTCTCTGAACTCATGAAAAATAGGAGTCCAAAGAACTGGAAGAGTCTGGGCTCCTTAAAAAAAATTTTGCTAATTTTATATTTATTGCACTTGGCTGCTGAAATTAAGTCATGATCTGTGCTTGCTTACACTAGAAAAGGGAATGCCATTAAGCCTTGAGAATCCTCTGTGTATATAAAAGTATCTTTGGATGGTTAGTTATGGGGCTGGGGTGATTATTTCACAAAATCTTACCTTCAGTAAATAAATAATTTTAAAAACCACAAATAGGTGGTCTGGGTATGCTGTAGCTCTGCAGAAAATTTAAAGAGCTTGTTAATTCATTATGCTGGGATTCAAGCACAAAAACTGATGAGATTCCGAGACAAGAAACTCAGCTGGAGCTGAAATGAAATGTAAAACAATTGTGTCACTGTTTCACAGCCTAGTTTCAGCATTTTTAAGAAAATTGTAAGGAACTTTGAATTCTAGGTTATTACTGCTGCATGAGAAAATAATTTAATTTTCTAATTTTGTAGCATTCTTTCCCATTCCCTCAAAAAGATTTTTTCTTCAGTTATATTATGGACATTCTAACCATAGAATTTAAAACCTCTGTTGACTTAAATGTTCTTTTATAGCAGGCTGAAATCCTTTTATCTGGCACTACTGTTAAAAGCTATTCACAAATACTGAGAGTGGATATCTTAAAATGTTTCTAATACTTTAGTCTTTGATAAAGAATATTTTAAATATTTGCTTTGCTGAAAGAATAGTTACAATGCTTTTATGATATTTGGGTGCTTTAAAGACCTAAGGAGAGTTAACTTAAACAAAACTACTTTTATGTGTAATAGAGTTTTAACATTGGCCAGTTGCACAATGAGCAAATCAAACATTTGAGCATAATCTTTTGATGCATATACCTGATTAAAAAGTGGATTCCTCATTTGTGAATTTGCCTCTTAGCAGGCACTGTTATTACTGGTGGTTAGCACTCCTAACGCTTTTCTGGGTTGTTTTTGACATTGCCAGACTTTAACCCTTTGGGTTCATGTCTTCTGTGGCCAGTGTTGGCCACAGCATTGCACTGGTACAAGAGTGAGTAGAGACCCTGAACTGTGCAGTGAGGAAGTTGGAAGCTGAAACTGGGAATGGCTTGGAGAGAAAACGGGAGCAGTGCAAGTGACTCAAGTATGTGGCCAAGGGTTGCAGATATGGGATATGTAATCCTAGTGCAGAGAAGGAAATCGGAATGTGCCTTGAGAACCAGATGAGGGCAACAGGAAACTGCAAGGGGCAGAATAAAGGAATAAATGCATTAACAGCTTAAATATGGGCATGAACTTACAGGTAATTTCTCACAACTGAGATACCAAGGACAGTGGAAGCACGTTTTCTCTCACTGCCTCATCATCAAAAGTTGCTTAGTAATTTTTACAACAGCTTTCCCAAAATCCTAGCTTGGCTACAATTTGCCCAAGCTGCAAATAATTGTTAACAGCGTTACAAGTAATATTCGTCAGCCTCACCTTCAGACAGGATTATGAGTGCTGTATGTATCTATTTCACTCATATTATATATAATAAACTTCTGGTTTTGTTCACTTTTCTTTCTGAAGCGTTTTTTTTTGTCAGTTGACACCAAAACCAGTGAAAAATACTGGTTACCTATCATTACATTATTATTTAAACAATAGCATATGCAATGTTTACTCTTGAATCTCACCTTCTTTTCACCGGTTTTCACACATTTAATTTTATTTCCATGCATATTAGCCACACAGTATTGCAGTATGAGTTACTAACATGAAATACAGTGAAAGGAAGATCTGGCACCTTAAGATGTTTTTTGTCTTCCAGAAACCTGTCAGGTGTTCATTTGCATGTGTCAGAAATTGTGCCATAAAACCAAAGTGTATTTATTAAAGTCCAGTAAAAATGCTCTAATAACAATACTTGATTTTACTCTGCTTTTTAGCCTTTTTTATTAGTAAATTGTATTGTAAATTAAAAGGTATTTAGGCATTTTTTCCTAAAAGTAGCACGTGAATTTTTTTCTGGGAGGTAAAAAGACTTACATGGGAAACAATTCTGATATTTATAATAGTAGACCATTTAATTATTAAGCAGCGGAAGTGTTTGCATAACTCATCGTCTTGTGTAGTTGAAGATCAATGTGAATTTCTTTTAAAATATCTCTCTTGCTAGCTCTACACACATACAAGTTTTGTCCTCCCATATTTTTTTGTTCCCTTTCAAGCACTGGCTGCTAAATAAGCAATTACTAATTGTTCCATCTGACATTATTGATACAGGTGAATGCATACACAGTAAATTAAATCAGTTCTTTTAAATTGAACTTAATTCAAATGAACGAGCAGGAATCAACCATATATTCTGAATTGACTGGATCCTTAGCCTTTAAAGCAGTATTAAATAAAGTAGATCAGAACCTTAAAAACTTTACTAGATTGAAAAATATGTATGTTCTTTGTACATGCTGTGGGATATATTGAACTTTATTATTCTTATAGCTCATTATGTATTCCAATTGTTCTAGATGCAATTAAGACTTGGATGAGCTGCACTTAATTTCTTGTTTGGTATTACTTTCCCAAAGTTCCTCTTGGTTCTTACTTGTTTTTGTTTTGATTTGGGGTAAAAGAATTGGCACTGTCTAGCCTTTTATGAAGAGTTTGTAAGGCAAATACTGTTTTCCATATTCTGGTTCATGTATATGTTAAAATGTAGATTACTGCCTATTTGTAATAACTGGTTCAGCTTCTATGGATCCACAACATGACGGTATAACAATTGTTCTAATGAGACAGCTTATATTCAGACAAGTAAGGAAATGATTCAAGTTGAACAGAAGAGATCTTTGAAAGTATGAGTTTCTAGATCTTTGTTGTCTGATGTGTTGCTTTTTAGCTTTTCAAATCGACCCTCTGTGGTTTTGGGTTGATGTTTTATGTCATGCTGTGTGGTGGCAATTTTTTTACCAATAAAAATTTGAAAGGAGATGTTAAAGAAAGCCAAAGTTTTCAAGTGTTTATACATAGTAGTTGCAGTAATTCCTATTTTGTATCATTTTATCAGATGCTGAAAGGGAGGAAGCAGGGTCGTCTTCTGTCCATAGTGGAACAGCTCCATCATCATCATCATCTACATATGAAGCTAACAATACACCAACTAGTAATTACACTGGCATACATATACCACCAGGTGCCCATGCACCAGCCAATACTCCAGCTGAAGTACCTCATAACACAGGTATGTCCAAATCACATCTGAGAAATCCATGCCTTTAATGGGAGATGAATTTTTGCCCAAATTCTAGTTCATCACATAGAAAGTAAAATAGCGTAATATTGTGTGACAAAAGCATCTTCATAAGCTAAAATCGTAAAAATGCCACTGGAAATATTTTTAATGTTTTCTTAAAATATGGCAGTCATAGTTTGGAGCACTTTTACAGAAGACATATATGGACCAAGAAAGTGACTGTTCCTGCAGACAGAATTTATTTGTCTTTTCTTAAATCAGTAAAATGATGTTGCATTGCAACGTCTGTACTGTAAAGCACAATTTGAGTCTTTCAGTTTGTAGATGGAATTGTATTACTTTATTTCATATGTAGCTTTCCCCGTGCAGGTAGGTTGCTGTTCTTCATGCGAGAGCTTATAAACATTGTTGAAATTGTTACAACCCTATAGCAATATGTCTGATGGACAATTCATATTGGTTTGGTTTGGCTTCTGCCTGTTTTCCCAAGGGCTTTAGTGCGATTGACTTCGGACATTATTATTAATGGGAATTTGTCCCTATGGCTAAACATTGGCTAAATATATTGGCTTCTACATCTTTCATATTATTATGTATAATTTTTGGACCAAAAACCAAGTTCTTAACAGTTCTTTCCAGGTTCCTTCCCAGATTCTGTATTTATTAATTAAAAAAAAAATTAAGTGATTGGTGAGTACAACTTTTTTATCTTATGGGACCTTTTTATAATAATCATAGAGTAGAATTATTAATTAATGATTAATAAGACTAAAAATTCAAATTTTTTTTTCAATTCTGATGATCACTTATTATTCAGATACATTTTTATATTACCGAATGTACAAGATACTTTTTGTCACACAATCCCTCCTTTTCTTTTACTTTCTCTTTTTAAAAATGCTTCACCCTATGAAGAGTTCAGGATGCTGTTTTTTTCAGCTTTATCAAAGGGAAATCCTTCAGATAGGTGGGGGTTTTTTTGGCTCTGGGAGGATCTGAAAATTAGGGAGTACATACGTTGTTGGAATATATGAATTCTAATGTACATTACATAGTTTTAACCCCACCAATGGTTCAGTGGAGTGATGGAATTTAGAAAAGTGATTATACCCTCTTCCTAGACAGCAATGTTGTAGAATTAACTTTATGCTAGTCTGGTATGTTATGGACATACTGCAAAAATATAGTTTTGGATCAAAGCAAATGAGTGTACTTAAAATGAGAATGCAGGTACAAGAATGCTTCACAGCATAAAGTGCAGTTTCTTCTTCTAGAACATTGTTTCCCTTTTTAGCTATTTTTATTCTCACTGATTGTTTTTAAAGGAATTAGGAAGGAGATAGTTTGCACGTGTGAGGTGACTGGCTCTGGGCTTTAAAATATAATAATAAAGACTGGTTCTGGTATTAGAATGTAGAACTTAAGTTTTAAATATAAAAGGTTACTCACACTTTTGTTTAGCAGGTTTTCCGCAATACTTTTGGGTAACCAGTGTCTCTTGGACTAGTATTTTCTTATTTTTTAATGCGTCAAATTAAATTTCTGTTAAATCTTGTACTGGTAAAATGGATGACAGTCTGTACATTCTTCTGTTTTATTTTATAAAGCAGTCATATTTGAAGTGAAAGCATTTAAATTATTTGTTACACAGTTTCAGAATTCGTATGCTCTCAGCTGCTTAATTTGAAAATCATAAGGTGTATCTGTTCTGTGTACAGAATAGATAAGGTTTTTAGCTTAAAGTCAATAAATAAAAATAATCCAAGTTCATTTTTTTGCATTGGTTTGCAGGAGTGACAAGTAACACCATTCAGCCTGCTCCTCAGAATATTCCTCTGGTCGATCCTTCCCTTTACAGTGCTCAGTCTGCTGGTAAGCTTGTGGCATTTGTATTGTTGTACATGGACATACTGTGTCCTCTGTGTCTCCCCTGCCCTGAAGGAAGAAGTTTGAGAAATATTGTCACTATTATCTGAACACAATCCATTTTAAAAGGAATGGTCAACATCTAAGCATTATTGCTAAGATTTTAGTGGTTTCTGAAAGCTGTTACAATATAGTGTTGTCTGTCTGACTGCTTTGAACTAATGAACTAGCATTGCATAAGGCTTTTTTATTATTTATATTGTTGCTTCCTTCTCAGGTGGAGTTCTTACATATTTTGCAAAGCCTATATTCCTGATAGCCTTGGTAAATTGTATTATTTGTAATTAATATACATTCCCTTTACTTAAAATTTATTTTACGGGCTCAGGATGTAAGTTACTTATTAATTTCGTAAAATAACTCATAAAACATTCAAATTATGATTTTGTACAGAATAATAGTGTGCTTCCTGACTGGAAGTAGTACTTGTGTTAAATGAAACAATCAATTTGTAAGGTACTGCTAATGATGTTTTTTGATGTACCATTTAATCAAGGCTTTTATCTTCTAAGATGTCATCTGTCTTTGATGTTGAAATCACTGATAACCTATATCATACGTATTTTGTGTCTGCTTGCATATTCCATGCTTTGAAGTGTACACATACACATAAGGGCTAACCTTGGGGAAACCCTGGCTTGTGAAAGAGTAGTATCTGACAATAAAGCTGGAATCATCCTAGATTTTCATTTGAACACTAATCTACATGTGGACAAAGAGTTAGCTGTTTTCTAAGAATTTTACTGTCCATGGAAAAGAGAAAAGAGTGTAAAAAAAACCCTTAAATTACATCTGTTTGTAATAATCAAATTTTTGTTGGCAGTGTAACATGGATGTTGAATGAGGAGGAGGTCTGAGAGTCCTGGTAGAAAATCTGTTCATATTCTCCCCTACAGTTTATCCTCATCAGAGAAAGCTGATAGTATATATTAGTATACAATATTGTACATAATTGCTATATTAAGTTCTAGTACTAACAACAGTAAAACATTGCCTGTTATCACTACAAAGTGTAGATAGGTATGTTCTTTTATTTTATGACTTACAGATACTCAGTTACTTTATTATGTTGTTGTAGACTGTGTGTGTGTTAAAATAGCTTTACTGAAAAAGCATTTTTGCTTCAGTCAAATGCTACAGGAGGAATTCAATACTTGTTTTTGATGTGCTGGCATAAAAAATGCTTAAGGATATTTCCATTCTAATATATTAGCCATTTTTACAGAAGATGTCTTAAAATAGCAAAATTTGCCATTGAGAGACATATTAACCTTTAGTATTCTCTTGAAGAGCAAATGGTGCTATAGGCACTGCAGTTTTTCTGGCATATTACTGTAATCACAGAATCACAGGACAGTCGAGCTGGAAGGGACCCAGAAGGATTGAGTCCAACTGTGAAGTGAATGGCCCCTGCAGGGATCAGCCCCACAACCTTGGCGTTATTAGCACCATGCCCTGGCCAGCTGAGCTGGCACTAATGTCTCATGAGGCAGTAACTCATTTCATTGTAAACAACACCTCAGACCTGTAGCTGTAACATTCTAACTTGGTGAGAGTTTTTGAGTTTTGGGGAGTGCTGTGGAGGTTTTGGTAGCTCCTCAACTGAAATGGCTCAAAGCTTTACTTAAGCCTTGTCATAGTAACTGCTAGTTGGAAGGCAAATTTTGTGGTGTTTGGAAGAAAAGGTTTCATGTTTAACTAGCTTATCATGATCTTCTAGACAGTCATTGTACCAGTTTTATGGTAACTACTCTGAAAATTTTAATCATCGTTGTTTCTTGGTTTGAATGTTTGTTTCTGGTTGTCAAAAATGTCATAATTTTGACTGAAACTTAAACTTTTTTTAAGTTTACGATGTTCCATTATTCGATATCTGAACAGTGTGAGTGCATTGCTCCCTTTTACCGCCTATCTGAGATAACCTGATTTAATAAGTAAATAAATAAGAAGGAATTAAGTGTGTTTATGAGAATGCTTGATAAGTAGTATTGTGTAATTAAGAGATTAAGACCCTTGCTAAGCACCATGATAAATCTCTTAACTTGATCTAACCTGAGTATTTGCATGCCTGCATTCCTCCTCTGCACATCTGTTGTGTTACTACAAGTTTGGGTCTTGTAACAGCTCAAAGTATTACATTCTTATAAGGGAGTGCTGCAGAAGTGCATGCAAAGAAATGGTAAAGGTCATACAGGTTCTTGGATTGAAAGCTTAGAAAACACTGTCAATTATGCAGGAGTCTCAGAGTGCAGGGGATGTGTCAGCAGAGGTACAGTGACAGTTTTCTTTGCATGTGTGGAGTTTAGAAACTTGAGAGAGTGACAGCAATGTCCTTGCCTGTCACTGTCTTGCACATTCTTCTTGCACTGCTGAGGGGTCTTTTCTATGCCAACAGCAGCTTTGTCCTCTAACCCATAACTAGATGGAAAAATGCCTGTATCTGTTAGTGGATGTACAAAACTGTGGGAGCCATGAGCCCTTCCCTATTCCTGAGCTGCAATATACATATCTGGGCTAGATCCTTGCTGTGTATTGAGGTGTGTACCATTCCTGTGCAACTGAGGTTTCCTTTGCACGGGAAGGAGGGATCAGTGTTGCCCTCCATCCAGTAGGTCCACAGAGTGCAAGTGCAAGATACATTTGTTCCAGGATTTAGACATCATGCCTGTGTCCATGCTAGCAAATTATACATGCTTGCAAACATTTGGCACAGAGAACAGCTGGCACAGAACCTCTCACATTAATATTATTCAACTTCTAAAACTAAACAAGGTAGCTTGTTAAGACTGCTCATATTGAATGGTCTGTAGCTTGCTCTGACCACAAGTCATGCCCAGGAATTGTTTGGGAAAGTGCTAGTTTGCATGGGCCAAAACCATACTGGAATCTGTTCCAGCAGTTTGACACTGCAGACAATCAAGTTTGAGTGCTGAGAAGCCTTTCTTGGCAATGTTGAATATGGTAGTATAGGCATAGTCAAACAGGATATTCCACATATTCCTGCAAGACTCTTTCTTGTAGTAAGATGAAATGTATATTTTAAAGATAAATGCTTTGCTTCCCATAATATGGGGGAAGCCTGATTAATGCTGTTATGGGAGAAAAAATTTTTATAGAGAGGAGCAGCATATTTTATCAAAAGAAGTTAAAGGAATAGGGTTCTTTGATTTTTAGTTAGCATAAATCTTTCAGTAGTTGTCCTGTCCTGTGGGAACAGGTTTCAGAGTTTAACACTGACTTTTGAAAGTGTCAAAGTTTTTCATTTAAGCACAAGTTAACGTGTCTGTCAACAGCATGTAGAATTATGCAGCAACTTTGTCTACATGTGTGTGCACTTCTCTGGTGTAGTTGTCTTAAAAATTTATTACCCCTAGATTTTGCTAACACTAAAGGCATTCATAGTTGTGCTATACAGATTTTACAAGATCATCTTATGTTGCCATATGGTCCCTTCCACAGGTGGCATAGTATAAAGAAGGCATTTGTCCATTGTAGTTGTATGTATAATGTTTGATATTCTACACACAAAGTAGAAATAATAATTTGACATTGAATGTGCTTTTCATGATCTTAAAAATAAATCCTTGAGTACTTATATTTCAAATATTTCAAGTGATTTAATGGTAAAAAGAGTATCATGTTTCAAAAACCATTTGTTACCTTTTCCATCTCTGTTTTTATGCACCAGTTTGTATGATTGAAATGTTCTTAAATCATCTGCCTTATATTTGGGCATTGTAAAAAAGGAAAAATATCTGAAGGGTAGAAAAGGATTATTTAATTATTTAAAGGAAAATATATATCTATGTAAAATGCACATTACTTTCATTCTAAAACTGTTATTTTTTCCCAAAATTATTTCAGCAGCTCTTGTCAAATCAGTTTCACTTTGTGTTTCTCAAAGAATCATGCTTGTTGTTACAGATTCCATATTCCTGTTATGTTCCACTAATATAACTACAGCCCTAAAAATTTCAGATTACCAGAGGAAGCAGGTTTATTTCAGAATAAATACAGTGCACCTTTTGTATCTCAGTGTTGTTGGGCTTTTTTAGGGCAAAGAGTCACTGGATACTTGAGGTTGGAAAGGACTTCAGGACATGGTCCAACCCTTCTGCTCAAGGAAGGGTCATGTACAACCAGTCACTTGGGACCATGTCCTCTGTGTCTCCCCCTGTCTGTGCACTCTCCCTGTGGTTTAATTTCCTGCATTGAAGAAGTTTGAGAAAAAATGTTACTGGTAGTTCAAAAAATAGGTTTTGAATCTCTCCAGGAACAGACAGCACAACCTCTCTGGGCAACCTGTCCCAGACCTTGGTCACCCTCAGAGTAAAACTATTTCCTGATGTTCAGACAAGATCCTCCTGTGTTTCAGCCTCTGGTCTTGTCACTGGGCATCACTGAAAAAAGCCTAGCTCTGTCCTTTTAATACACTCCCTTCAGGTATTTATATACTTGATATAAGATACCCCTGAGCTCTCTCTTCTCTAGGCTGAACAGTCCCAGCCTTCTTGCATGTTTCTCGTGCTCCATGCCCTTAGTCCTCTTTGTGGCCCTTTGCTGAACTGTCTCCAGGATGTCAGTCTGTCTCTCTTGTGCTGAGGAACCCAGAACTGGGCATGGCACTCAAGATGTGGCTGAAAGGGGCAGGATCACATCCACCTGCTGGCAATGCTCTTCCTAATGGAGGACAGGATGCCATTGTCACTCTGGCCACAAAGGCGGATTATTGGCTCATGGGCAGATCAGTACCCACCAGGACCCCCGGGGCATTTCCTCGTAAACTGCTTGACCTTTCAATATGTAAATTGAAGTAGGTTAATAACTTTTGTGATTATACCTTTGATGTAAGTAGTCATTGCAGTTAAGTTTTATGTTATTTGTAAAACTTCAGAACACAGAGCTGGTTTGTTTCTATTTTGCTTTTCCATTGTGAGGTGTTGGCTTCAATAGGAGCTCAGGCTACAGAGCACATCAAAAGATCAACCCTCTTACTGTATAAACTTTGGTTTATAAATTTAAAACTAATAATTTTTTTCCCTCACATTATGTCATAATAGCATCTGAGGTAGATTTCATAATAAATAAGGCTTTATGCCAGCAAAACATTAATAGAGCTCATACTGTAAAAATAAGATTAGACGGGTGAATTTAGGCTTGCTTCCAATAAATTATTTGAATACTGGACTGATGCCTTGGCCAGTTTTTAAAGAATGATTTTGTAGTTTCTTTTGGCATCATAGCATAAAGCTACTTTGAGGGAAACTTGGTCTTTTTAATTTCTTAAAGATGTTCAGTAATGTGGTCACAGATTGACCCCAGATGCTTTTAGTCTGTGATTTTCCTGAGGTACAAAATACCCAAGGTGTGTGCGTGTGTTTGTGCACTCCCTCGTGTATTTACTCACATGTGTATGTATTTTAAGGGATTTAATGTGGCTTTACTTACTAAGCATAAAACTAATATACGTTGCAATCATAATGAGCCCACCAAGTTTTTATGTCCCTCAATGGTTATATTTATTTATTGAAAGTAGAGTTCTAGAGCATATTTTTAAAAATTATGAAATTAACCCTCAGAGTGCTTACCCTTCTGATTTAATTTGGGTAGGGTTGTTTTGAAAACCAGCAGACCAGACTAATTTTTTAATATTCCCAGTTTTCTTTTTTATTTGTTCAAAAGCTGTTCTTAAATAGTAAGACTGGGGGAAGGAAAAGCAAATATAATAGACGTTTTTTGATAAGAATAGAGATTCTTTAGTAAACATTCTCACAGTATTGATAACAGTTCTATTTTGAAAGAAATTATCCAGCTGATGGAAATTGTGCCATAAAAAAATGTCTTTATGTATGTTCATGTAGTTACTTAAGAGTAAAATGTACTTCAAGAGCTAAATCTTTGTTTAACTAAATTTTATGTAAAATGTATGGTACATTTAAAAGCACATTTTCTCTCAAACTGTGAAATCTATTCAGTGCTTATACCATATTGTGTGGGAAGTTATTAAATGTATACATAATCTTTAGTGTTTTATATAATTATTTATCTCTGCCCATAGAAATCCATCATTTACAATTTGTTGTGAAAGAACCTGAGTAAAGATTTTATAATTTGTCCGTATTTGGACATATATAAATTTGTCCATCATTGGAGTGGCATGGGATTAGCTTTAAAACTCCCAGTGGATTTGTGGGTGGAAGGAAGTACAGTAGCACAGCTCTGCTTTATTTTGCACCCACATCAGTGACACTATTCACGTATAAAATCTTCCACCGGTTAGGGCTTAAGTCCCTGCTATGTCTTCTCCAAGACTTAATGCATGTGTTTGAGCACTACAGAATTCCTAAAGTTTTAATTTACGGCAAGAAAATACTCTGATTAATAAGTAATATTTGGTTTATATTATATTATGGGAATATTTCTGGCCAGTGTTATCCAGTATTACAAAAATGGGTACATTTCATGACCTCAATCTTGTTTTCAGTCATCTTACATAAAATTGGAAACAAAAATTGTTTGGAAAAACAGAAACATAAAATGTGTGAAAACATGCCAGTGAGAAATGCTTCCATATTCTGAAAAGTTATTCCAGTTGAGAAGAAATTATTTGTGAAAGAAAGCAGAGTAATTATGCTGTAAACACAAAAAGCACTGTCCTTGTTTCTTGCAGGTTGTAACATGATTACGGCTAACTTAATGTCATATAAAAGCTCTCCTTTACTGTCTTAGATGAAGAACAAATCTTTCTCAAAGGTATTGGCTTACTTTTGAAAGGCACTGGGTCATGCAAATACCAGTCTTTAGAAAGGTCCTCACATTTTTCAATAGCAAAGAAGTTAAGCTTTATATGAATGGAAAGAAAAGAGAACAGAGCAGAACAGAAGAAATACTGTAGCTTGGTCTTCATAATTTTACCACAAATATTAGCCTGGTTTTCATAATATTGCCACAAGCATCAGTAAAACATAAAAATCATAAGAAAGGAAGCTTAAGTCGGATTTCCTTTGTAGTAACTTTGTAATACTTATGTTTTTGCAGGAGAAGTCCGCTTGACTCCAGAGGACTTTGCCAGAGCTCAAAAATATTGCAAATATGCTGGCAGTGCATTGCAGTATGAAGATGTGAGCACTGCTGTGCAAAATCTACAGAAGGCCCTCAAGTTACTCATTACAGGGAGAGAATGAAGCTTTAATCGAACAGATTCATGTCTTTCGGCTAAAGAACTAACAGTTTATTACTGTACCTGTTAGGGAAGTGGAGTTACACAGAAATTGTCAATCCCATCACTCATGACTATGAAACCACTGCTTCAGTGTCAGATTAGCAATTAATGGTACAGTCTAAATCTCTGTTTTCATTTTACAGACAGTGGAGCTTGAAACATGAATGCAGTGGCTTGATGTATGCAAAATATCGAAGACAGTACTGTGAACACCACTCAAGAGTTAGAATTCATTTTGCAATATTCCGATTATTAGAATTGGAAAATGCTCACTGTAAAAAACTTGAGAATTAGGATGTTCTGTTAAAATTCTTTATCCCAGTTTATTATTGCAAACAATTATTTAATAGGTATAATAGCTTTAAAATGGTAACTAAAATGAATGAGTGCTTTCCTCCTGAAATTAGAGGCCTAATGTGAGAAGGTTGACAAGTCCACACTGGGAAGGACTTTTCTATACATAAATTATTTCGGTATTTGTATTATCTGAGACATAAGTCTAAGTTGAGGCAGTCTTGAGGACATTTGTATGTAATTTGAAAATGTGCTGGAAAAAAACATCTCTTGGTACTTCAGAGGGAGTAATTTTGATGGTGTTCCAATTTCATACCCTACAGGTGTATGGACTACTACATGTATTCTTGATTATGGGTTCTTGCTCCTTCTGAACACTTAGAATTTTATGTATCTGTATGGGTAATTAAGAGAAAATACTAATATTTATCAACAGTGATCCTAAAACTGGAGGCAGAGATTCTAAATAATTTGAACTTTCAGGAAGACTTACTAAAAGAACAAAACTGTTCTATCTTTTTAAGAGGCTGGAAAAATGCCTGTTCTTCAGCCACTAAAACACTATAGGTTTGTATCTGGTATTAGTGTCATAGAGCTTTGTATTTCCAACTAATATTTTTCCTGTCTGCTTTGTTGTGAAGACTTTTTGGACTTGAGATTTAATTAAAAGATCTTGGAAACTGAATTTTGAGTCTTCATGAGGTCTACCACTGCAATTATAGAGCTCTTCATTCTTAAAACCCCCCCCATGCTGTTTAAAAGAAAGAATATGCAAACTTTTAACTGACATGACATAATAATTGAGTACACCATAAAGCATGTCTGATATATGTAATAATCTTAATGGCATTTTATCTGATCTCTCTGTCGTTCCAAGCTGCTGGATCAAATCCGTGTTATTTATAGCTGCACTGCTTTGGAGTGACTAAAACAAGTCTTATATTCAAAGCAAAAAGATGAGGAAAAGAAAATAAAACATAAGCATGAATTAAAGTTTAGCTGGTTGTATCCCTTAACGTGTGTAGTGTCTTTGACAGCAGATTTCACATGGATAATATGAAACTTAAACGTATGCTTAGGCACTGTAGTTGACTGAGACTTACTAGATAAAATGTGGTAATTTTTGTGTTGCTTTCTGATGTGGTATAGCGTGCTAATCTGGACAGTGACTTGGGTTAGATTTTAATCGCTTGGGGAAATTTAGAATAAAACTATCTGAAAGTTTTTTGACAGTAATGCTGTACAGACCTGAGCAGTAAGTCTGTATTTTGTACAGTGTTTCATGCAAGATAGATCTCTCACTTCAGTATTAATTACTGCAAAGTCTTCTGCGTATATGGTTGTTGGTTTACCCTGTAGCATTACTATAAAGTATATATAGCATTGCTATATAATTGTCAGAAGTTTCTTTCATTTCAGGATCATACTACTATTTTTAAAACCAGCTTCAACCCCCATAAGTTCAGTTTTCCTATTTCTATTTATAAAATAATAAAAAAGAACTTTGGGGCTTTTGTATTACATGCAAAAATAAATAAGGTATAATGTTGTATTGATTTGAAGCTTTTGAATTCAAGTTGTTGGGGTTTTTTATAATTAAATGATCTGAAATGGAATACATAACTATGCTTGAAAATGAAAATGTAAGTATTTCTTAAAGTGTATAAAATATTTTCTATTGGCCATTACTATATTGTACCTATTGGTTCCTCTAGGAAACCAGGGAATCATCAGTAAAAAAGTGATAAGCAATGCAAAAGCCATAAGCCCATAAGCAGTTTGTTTGATCATTTGCCCATCTGCTATCTGCTATCTTCTTCTGCCTAGAAAAGAATTAAAGTAAGTGTTTCTGAGGGGAATGAAGATGAAAACGGTAACACAAGAGTTTAAACATTTCTTAGAGAAGCTAGCAAGACATTCTTTCTGGAAATAAATTAATAAATTAATTTTAGAAGACTTACTATACAAAATTTCATGTAAAATGGAACATATCCTAATACCAACCTTCAGACCACATAACCTATTGCATTTATTTTCAATCATTTATTTTCCATAAAATAATTTTGCTGTAATAATTTATTTCTTAATTGGGAAGTTTTGTAACAGCTCATAAAACCATGTTTTAAACCCCATCTTTAAGGTGCTGATTTTTTATGTAACAGGCTGAATATTTCTCATCTAAACTGATGCCTAAAGTAAATTACAGCAAAGCATTTCCATTCCATTAAGTATAGCCTCTGGGACAGCTTTAACTACTGCAGATAGCCCAAAAGTACAAACCAGTGTTGCAGAACAGTTCAAATAGTGTATATATTTGAAAATGTCAGGGGAATATAGGTACATAGGCTATAACTATTCCAAATTGGAATTTGTGGCAGGCACTGAAATTTATGGCTCCATTGTTAAATGTTGTGTGAGTTTTTAAGTGTTGACTAGTTCATTTTACAGGCATTCTGAGTGATAAAGTAAAAACACATAGGTTCTCTCAACTGCTTCCCTATACAAAGAAGTACAGCATTAAACAGAGTGCTGATTTTGTTCCATGCTGCAGTTAACAACTCTGCTTTTCAGTCTGACTGCCACTTACATATTTGTTTGCCATTCTCCTTTGGATTGTGAGTTCTCAGTGTCCTTAGTCTTGCTTAAGAAAGGAGAAAGAGGCATCTGTCAGATTTTTATCAGGTATTCCATGTTCAGTTTTGCTGCTTATTTAAGCTAGAATTTTAGTCAGTCTGTTCAGTATCTGTTGCTTAAAAGACTTTATTTTTTGCAGTTTTTTTCTATTTTCATTTCTCTCCAGGGAAAGTTCCATATTATACTTCAGGATTCCTGCAGAAGTCTTTAAAAAATGCATTGCGGAGGAGGTCATCCTTTATGAAACATGAAAGTTTTTTCAAATTAATTGGATTGACTAATAGTGGAAGCAGTGTTCTCAAATTTTTGAAGTAATTTCAGGGGGAATATTTAATAGTGTCCTTTGTAAGTAAAGTTCCAGAAGCACAGACTTCAGTATGATCACATTCCAGAATGTGATTGTAACACTAATATTTGAGACTGTGTAATACTGACCTATGAGAAACTAATAGCAGAGAAACTTCCTGCCTGAAGCAGAACTGGGGGGTAGAGGTGGTTTGTGTTCAGACACATCAGTGCATGTATTATATAATGCATGTAAATTCAATGGTGAGCCATAGGAATGCCTTTCAAAAAAACGATTATTACCTTCTTTACAAGTATTGGGAAAATGTCAGATACAAATATATATATAGATACTGCTGACAAATGTTGTTCTTAATGTGAGGTTTTAAACGTACTAGCATACATAGGACCAAAAGTTAGCATTTAATTGTGTGGTATTCCAAATGAATGATCGTTGTTTTTCTTCTTGTTCATGTCAACTTCTTTTCATGTCAATTTCTTTTTTTCATGGGTAAAATAGGAGCCCAGTACAAAAAGAATGAGAACACAAATTCAGAAGTTAAATTTACAAAAGCTCAAATGTAGTTTCTGTTATTTTAAAGTCTTTGTGCTAATGTTTTGATTGAGATTGGAAAGTGCCCATGCTTATATAAAGTGTAATTCTTGCGTACTTTTACAATATCCTTTGTTGGGCTGTTTATGGAATTGGAGCCTGAGCCAGGATAACTGGGCTAGGAAAACCTAGGCTTTTATGCCAAGTTTCTAAACCACCAAAGCATCCTGGTTCTGACAGCAACTGTTTTTCACAATCACCTCAGTATCTATTTTTAAATGTTGGAATTTTAACCAAGTTTGTTGGGAAAAGGAGCAATACTTTTTTCTTACTGCATCATCACCTTTCAATGCACAGCTGTAGTAACAAGAGAACTGGACAAAACGCGAATTTCCATTAGATATTTCACTATCAATCAAGAAAATAGTATAGTGCTGCCAGCAGAGCTCTCCTTGGCTTACAAGAATATTGGAATAGTCTGATTATAGACACTGTTGTAATGCCCTAAATGATCTCAGAATAGGAAACTTATTTAAAAGAGCATTTAAAACAAACTTGAAAGAGGGAAGGCATATGCCAGAGGAGAAAAATTTCATTCTTCACAGAATGAGAGGGGGCACTGAAGTGATTGCAGAAGAAAACAAGAAATACTTAAAATCCCACATGGAATGGGAGCAGAACAGTGACTGTAATGAGGTTATCTGATCTCTTTAGAACCTTGAAAGTGAAGAGAAAAAGTGCTGGATCTTAAGGTAGAAGATTACAGGAGGATAGGAGAGGTGGAAAGCAGCACTAGAATGACAGAGGAAAAAACCATAACTTTTTTAAAATACAGACTGGAACAAATGTGAGTTACAGCACAGGAGAAAGTTAACCTAGTTGACAAAATGATAGCAGAATCTTAAGCTTAGCTGCAAAAGGGAAGCAAAAAGAAATACAAGTTGACAGCATTCTGAAAATGGAGAGTAGATCCTCTCATCCTAAGAATCTGTGCTTGTTAAATATGTAATATTTAGTAAGTAATTAAAATTGACTTAATGTGCCCTTTTGGAGAACTTGAGAGATTTTATAAGTTAATGCCTAGTACCTGCAGAGAACTACAGAGGTCTGTTTGCCTTAAAATGCTATATTCTGATTTTGTGCTTTCTTCCTGTTTTGATTTGCTTCCCCATTTTCAGTGTCTGTGTTTAATCTGTGGTGTTCCCATAGCTGGGAGGAGGTTGCTGTCGTTTAATACAATGCTGAGTCTGATTGCTGTAGTTTGCTACAATGCTAAGTCTGAGTGATAGCCCACATGTTTAGGCATTCTTGGGTAATTTGCGAAGATTATCTGGTCTGGGTTTTAGCTGGTATGTGCTGTAAAGAAAGAGGTAGTCATTGTACTTCCCTTCTTTGAAGAGCTTCAGAGTCTCTTTGGCAGCAGTATGACTACAACATCTAAAGAAGGATATATGGAAATTAACTCTACTCAGAGCTATTTCACAAGTCAGAGCCCAACAAACTAATCTAAGTAGTTCATGCAATTATAAACTTTCCTTTGCCTCAAATAGCCCATCTGCAAAATGAGATTATTTAGGTTTAATCTTATTATTATTTGTAATTCTGACAAGTAACGAGGAGAACGGCTGATCATTATAATAAGTTCCCCAAATAAATAGAATTTCTAGGCAAAGCAGAGAGCTGGTGTTTTTTTGTTGGTTTGGTTTTGTTGGGTTTTTTTTTCATTATCTCAACCCACTAGTTGTTTTCCATCTTATTCTCTCTCCCCTGTCACACTGGGAAGGGGAGTGATAGAGTGGCTTGGTGGACACCTGATGTCTTGCCAAGGTCAACCCACTAGAAGAAGAAATGGAAAAAAACTTGATAGGATAATTTAGGAAACCATGGGCAGAAGTTAGAAGATTTGAGATATGGAAACATTGCAGTTGTAAATGACAAGCAGGAATATATATAGTAGCATCTAATGCAAATCTTAAAATGTTTAATTTATCAGAAGTCCAAAATAACCTCTGTTCTACAATACTGAAATAACTATAAATGCAGTAAGAAGAACTGCTAATGGAATTAAACAATTATATTAAAAAAAAAAAAAGCTGTGATCAACTTTAGGCCTTCTATTTCAACCACAAGACTAAGCAAGATATTACTTCAGATGGTGAACAAAAGCCTTGAAAGTTCAAACATGCATGTGATAGTATATAGTATATTTCCTTCTTGCCCTTTCATTCTTCCCCTCATCCTAAGTGGTTTGGGACACTGAGTTTTTAGAAAATGAACGCAATTAATTTAATTTACTTAAAATGAAGTAATGCTTGACATAAGGCTCTAAAAATATTGAATGGAAATAGATTAACATGAAAATTGAAAAACAGATTAAAGCTGGTGGAAAAAGAGATTGCAGTAAATTCTAAATTATTTTCAGAATCAAAATGAGAGAGATCAGCCTAGGGGCACATCCTCTTTCACATACCAGTGACTTAGGTTGAGGTCACCGTCTAAGTCAGACATAATTTGTGAATGAGATGAAGTTGGGGAAGTATTGCA